TTTTGCTTCGATTTATCCCTGATTCTTGTCACAAATGAGACCATCGATATCTGGAAAATCATAGAAATCATTGGATTGATGCCGATGGTTTGATGAAGGATTTGTCGCATGTGTGGCATTATTTGAACTGGACAAGAATGGTTCATAATGCGGCTGACGGTGAGGAAGCGTTTGTGCAATAGGTCGATTTCCATGTCCACCATCATTTGGCATAGATTCATTTTCATGGCTCTCCTGGTTCTTGAAATGGGACAAAGAAGTGTTGCCTAACTGAGGTAAAGACCCAAATTTTCTTGGTTTTTCTTGGGATGAAGTACGAGCCAGATGAGATTTTCGCACTTGGGGACCTAACCAATTGTGATTCCGACATTTCTGCACACAAAATGAAGAAATAATAGTTACAAGATGTGGATTAAATTACAATCCCTATGCTCAAGAGTAAGTTAATCAGAAAGAATGAATCGGAAAACGTGCAAAAAACACAAAATTGATGATGGTTCACCCTCAATTGCAAGAAGAATATTAGCTTTTCCAAACACCTATCTCGTACATAAGTCATAACACAGTCCAACAAAAAAACTGAATGAAATTTGAATTAGTTATGTAAATCAGAGAAGTTTCAAAATGAATATACTTCAACAACTAGAAAGAACAGACCTGGAGATGGCTGGCTATTTGCATTCTCGTTAGACCAGGGACCTTCATCAGCTCTTGGATCTCCTTAGGGAAACATCCTATTTGGCAAATTAAAACAAGAAAACATACCAAAATAAATAAATAAATAAAACCAAACTGAATTGACATAAATTATTACATACCTCCTTCACCAAGCTGTGCTACAGCATCCATAAATTTTTCATGAAGTTCTCTAGTCCACTGTACGCATGTCTTCCTCTTAATCCTTTTGTTACGATTCAACAAATCATATTCTTCATCCTTGTTCGTGTTGTTAACTTCAACGGCATTGAATCTTTCTTTTTCCTTCTTCACTGTCAGTACATGCTGCCACAGGGACGTCAGCATTTCTATTTTTACCGGTTTTGTTATACAGAGGAAAGCTCCATTTTGCAGAGCCCTCATTGCAATCAAGGCATCATCCTCATCAGACATCACTATATTCAGAAAAAATTTCAACAGTTTAATTAAATTTAATACAACTTTTGGAAGGACAGAAGAGAGAAACACTCACGAATTACTGGTAAGTTCATAAAAACGCCCAGCTGTAGAAGATTAAACCCGTGAAAATCAGGAGAATCGATATTTGCCATTATAAGATCGAAATGTGAATTTCCACTTGAAAGCAATGATAAACCCATGGAAGCAACTTCAACAGATGTTACTGAAATCAAACAAAACAAAAATGCTTTTAAGATTTTCTCTGATTTTTGTAAATTTTACAAAGATGCGATAACTTCAATTACCTTTATATGAACACAACTCTAGCATTTTTTCTGTAGAAATTCGACCCTCATAATCATGTTCGACTAACAACACATGAATCTCCGGTATGACTCCTTGGTATGAAACCTTCGACATTCTTTGACCATTATTTATCGAAAATCCTCTTAATTCTGCATGGTGTCGAGGAATGCACCACTATTGTATAATTGGTTGGTGATGAGAATGAAATGAATTATTGAGAATTAAGTGAAAAGGGAAAGAGGAACGCTAGATACTTACGTTAAACACAATTCCAGACTATATAGATATTGTGTTGGGATTGTCATAGAAATTTATTTATTTTTTGACAAAGATAGGAATCTTCTTTAATGGAATTCTATAATTACTTATTTAGAGAGAGGTTTAGTATGTGGTTAAATTATAATTAATCTAATATAAGGTAGATGTCCCAACCAACTGTAATTTTTTTTCTAAAGTGGCCTTGGTCAATATATTTATCAGTCATGGGTCTATTTCCTGTTAACGCGTGACCCCGAATTGGTCAAACTTTCACTTTATTTAATAATTTTACCTTAACTATTTGGTAAATACTATACAGTATTGACCAAAAATAAGTAATGCAACGTAGTCCACCGAATTTAAATAGTGCTAGATAATAGGCTAAATAAAATATAAAATTAAATGAGTCATTTAATTTCACTTATTATTTAATGTCGCATTAGCGTCACTTAGACTACGATTGCAACCCAGTGGGACTAAATAGCATTAGTCGCAAAATACATAGCATAGTACTGACCCCTTGCCTCCTCGCCAAGCTGAGCCTTCCACTCCAGTCCGCCTTCGTGGGGTCTAGTTGAGCCTCAAATGCACAGATAGCATCTTTGGTTGCACCATAACTGGAATTTGAAAATTGAACAAGG